GGGCGGGGCAACCATCATTATGCAACTAAAGATCTCGTAGAGTTGCTAGTGGTAAGTCTTCAAAATTCCAAGTAGACCTGCCCATTTAGTGTTTCTGGAAATTCGAAAGATCTGATTATGCGACCGTTAATAATACCGGTCCACAGATTAACTTTGAATTAATATTGAGACCTTTCGTCGCGCATTAAAAACGGGTTCACCATACTCCAACTATGGACGTTGTGTATGTTCATAAATCCATCTTTCTTGAATGTGCTTTCATCCGTCCATAAAATGTTATTTAGAAAATTCGGGGGTTCTCTATGAATTTCTAGCATCGTCCTGCAAAATGCTACTCTCTGAGCATAATCCCGTGTCTAAAGAGCCTGCACTTTTTGGTAGTGGTGGTACCTATTGCGTTGGAGCATCCTATGTACACTTGTCTTAGGTATTCCTGCCAATAATGCAATGTTATGAACAGAAGTTCGCGGATCATCTCGAACTGTTCCAAAACTTCGTCTGTCAGTCTTCTCTACCACGTGCAGGTACTATCGCCCCAGAAAAAAAACCTTCAGCTAGCGTCCGATGCACATTTATAAATAAACGATAGTCAGGATATCGTTCCTCGTCAGGGTACCTCTCACGGTAGAGTCTAGCTGCAGCTTGAGCATTACCACGACATTCACCATAAATAAAATGTATGTTGGTATATTGAACTGGAGTGTAGTGGGCCGGCATTGTTTAATAATATCCAGTCATAAAGCGCGAAAGTCAAGTAGATAGCCAAATTTGTCATCAAATGAGCATTAACAAAGTCCAGTTGAAAGTCAAAGTCGTCGCCAAGAGAGTATCCAGAAAGTCTAGTAGAAAGTCAAGGTCACCACCAAAGGATGAGTCACAAAGTTCAATTGAAGGCCGAGTCAGATAGTACTAAAACACAGATAGGAACAGGAAAACAGGAGAAACGCGATCGAACAAAGTAGGGCAAAGTACTGACTATTTATTTATTTGTTTGCTTTCGTTGTTGAAAACGAAGGATACGGGCGAGGTAAGGGAAGGGATCTTACCTACCTGAGCTGTGCATAGTTCTAGTTACTTCCCTATATTCTGTCTCGCTTGCACATACATGTAAGTGCAAGTGCAAGAATTAATTCTATGCGTCATAGCAACTAAAGCTGAGAACCTCAAACTAAAGACGCATAGAATCGTATTGTATCGTAAATTTTGAATGTTTTGTTTATTACCAAAATTGAAAAAAAAATTAACCAATAATTAGGTCTGAAATCGGTCAAATCAACGTGAAAAAGAATTATTTTTCTTTACATTAAATTATTAAAAAAAATATTTGAGTAATTTGCACAAAATTTACCCTCTGCGAGAAAAAAATATAGCACAAAAAATTGAAATAAAAGTACCAAGTATTACACCATTTTTAAATCCACATGAATTGTGCCAATTATTGAATACAGTTACCAGGTCCATGTGGGTGCATTTTTTACAGAGTGAAGGGTCCAACTTGCTTGTTAAAACTTTAATGTTATATTTTTACACTTTTACGCATTTTTATGTATTTATTTCTATCAAACCGTAATAGATACTGAAAAATGAAATTGTAGGTAAAGTAGGCATATTATTAGGCTATACAAAACAGGAAAAATAATTATAATCGGTCCTCATTTACAGCTGCAGCATCAAAAATATTGACGCAGTGTGATTTTCTGGAAAATTTATAAATAAATCAACCTTTATCTTTTAAACCACGCAACTTGGGTATAGGACTTAATTTTTTTGAACTGTCCTTCCATGGTCTACAACCCCCTTTCGTTTGACCGTTACGTTCTGGGACAGCCTGTGTAAAGGAAAAGGTTCGCAGCAGGACTGTAAAAACTACCGTGGTATCAGCCTTCTTAGCACTGTGGGAAAACTGTATGCTAAGGTACTAATTGAAAGAGTAATAAAAGAAACTGATGGACAAATCAAGGTTGTGCAACCTGAATTAAGAAAGGGTGTTCGGATCAAGTCTTTTCCATGCGCATGATCGCGAAAAAGTTTTCTGCTAAAAACCAAATATTTTTTGTGCATTCATGGACTTAAAAAAGGCTAATTGACAGAGTGGACAAGGATACGTTATGGCAAACACTGAACTCATTTGGATTGAGTCTACAGGCATTAAAGTCTCTTTATAGGGATTCTAGTGCTTGTGTCAGGATTAGGCTCGGGTCGGGGCCTACTCGGACTGGTTTGACATTCGTTAAGGTGTCAAATGGGGCCGTGTGGCTTCCCTGTGGCTGTTCAACCTATTTATGGACAGTTGTTTAGAAACTTTGAAAGTTGAAGAATGTGGGTAAAGAATGGTTAAGTTAACTGTCAAATGACTTTTGTAGTTTTATACGCCGATGATCAAGTCATATTTGGCTTGTTTTTTTTAAATAGAATTAGAGTAATGATTTCTTATATTTACGCGAACATTGCACATGATTAAAACTACTTTTTACGGATTTTATCGCGTTTATTTTTTACTTTTTATTTTTAATTCCCGACGTTTCGGGAGCTTTCCAGCACCCATGGTCACGGGGACTGAGATGACTGACGTCCCGATGTCATTGTTAAACCCGGAGTACCTTCAGCTTTTTTAATTATTGTTTATGGTCCGATCTATGCAAAATGAACTGACTATGTCCTGAGGTCTTGCAGTGGTATGCTTAGGTTTAGTTTTAATTTTATTGATTATAGGATCCCAAGCAGGTGGTAGTACCCAGCCTCCTTCTCTATTGAAATTAGGATGTTTTTTAATTTCAATAGCCTCACGTATCATCCTTGGTAGGAATCGGTGTTCTTTCGCGGAGGATTTGTGGTCTATCAAATCTGATGTAATGGTTGGGGCCGTCTAGGATATGATGGTTGGCATTTGTGATCATATCCTAGACGGCCCCAACCATTACATCAGATTTGATAGACCACAAATCCTCGCGAAAGAACACCGATTCCTACCAAGGATGATACGTGAGGCTATTGAAATTAAAAAACATCCTAATTTCAATAGAGAAGGAGGCTGGGTACTACCACCTGCTTGGGATCCTATAATCAATAAAATTAAAACTAAACCCAAGCATACCACTGCAAGACCTCAGGACATAGTCAGTTCATTTTGCATAGATCGGACCATAAACAATAATTAAAAAAGCTGAAGGTACTCCGGGTTTAACAATGACATCGGGACGTCAGTCATCTTAGTCCCCCGTGACCATGGGTGCTGGAAAGCGCCCGAAACGTCGGGAATTAAAAATAAAAAGTAAAAAATAAACGCGATAAAATCCGTAAAAGTAGTTTTAATCATGTAGAATTAGAGTGACAAACTAGCACACAGTCCACCTGATGGTAAGTGGATGCTGTGGCCTATAGACATCTACATTTAACCTCGATTAACAATCAAAATGCAGATGCGTTGTCACTCCTGAGGACTTAGATGGAATGCCTCGATTATAGTAACACGGGTCTCCAGTTCTCTACACTCACCCTACGAAACACAGAAGCATCAAGCTGCTATTTCACGCTGGTATCTTGTGAGAGCGTGGTCCTTCCCCGGTCGAGCCGGCCCATTCGTGCTACAACCATAATGTAGCTGCAGCGTGGCTCTACCACGTATGAAATTATGCTAGTTTCTTCCCGATTGACTTGTTTACTCGTTGATAACTCAAAAGCTAAAGACCCGATTATACTGACACTTGGTATATATACTAACAATGAGTCATTCAACTAGCGCCTACCTAGATGAGTAATCTCACCCTCGCCAACCCCGCCATTCCGATGAGATATGATAAGGATATAAAAACGAACGGAGGAAATGAGTAAATGGGGCTCTACACTCTATTGTGGGAAGACAGAATGTGGCAAAAAGGCACGTATGGCAAGTTACAATGCTGTGTTAGTCCCTACTTTAATGTATGGTAGTGAACGTTGGGTGTGGCAGAAGAAGTACGAGAGTAGAATAAACGCTGTTGAAATGCGGTCGCTAAGGAGTATGCAAGGGCTGAATCTCAATGACAGGGTGAGAAATTGTGTGATAAGAGAAGAGTATGGTTTGCAAGATTATGTTGTGACCAGGATTAAAAAAGTGGAAAGAATGAATGAGGAAAGAGTGACAAAGTAAATTTATGTTGCAGAAGTGAACGGCAGAGTTGGAAAGCGACGTCCTAAGTCGACGAGCGAAAGTTTGGCGATATATTGAAAATGGGCCAAGCTAAGAGTACCCTTAACCGTAGGTATATGGACGTGGACGAGGCGAGAGAGGTGTGTCAGGATCTTACCAAATGGAAGTCCATAGTCTCTGTCTACCCCTCTGGGTGTCAGGTGTGAGAGTTTATGCATGTATGTATAGTAGGGTTGTCTTTTGCATAGAAGTCAGTCTGGCTAGATACCACCCTCTTATCTGTTTTTACCGCTAAATAACAGTGTTGTAAGGCATTACATCTTAGTCTTCTGGGGTGATGATGAAAGTATAGCCATCTTCAGTTGAAGTTGGTTACAGGCACACGGCACTGCTCGCACAAGACACGTAGCAGGCATAAGACACAGCATTCTATTCTATTCTATTGGCTGCTGTAACCACTTACTATTAAGTGGACTATAACTTTAAGGATTTCTTAAATTTACTTGAATACTACCACTTGAATGAACCTAATTTTACGGATTTTATTTTGTTTAATGTATTTAACATAGTACTATAATACTACAATTAATTTTATGAAATTACCATGCATATTTTTTAAATTTATTTGAGACCTTTTGAAATAAAAAGAAAATATACTATATGGTTAAAGGACTAAAATCTAAGGTGTAAGTTAAGCGTAAGGTGTAAGAAAAGAATGTGACCACATCCAGCAGTGGAATGCAGTGGAATGTTAATCTCATTTGGCTTAGAGATAGAACCTACTTACCCCATCAAATGGCAAAAACATTGGGAACAGAATGTACCAACAATACGGAAGAGAGACAATATAATTGTTTAAAAAATAATATACCTTATTGAGCTGTGTGCTAAATCTTCATCTGTTCCAATAGCTCTCAATACATATGACGGTTCCAAGGAGGCCGAAGTACAAGCTGATCCACTAGATAGAGCGACATCTTTTAAGGCCATCAAAAGAGATTCACCTGCAATGAAGGAGAATTTATTTCTATTTAAGTTCTTCAAACTGCTTCTAGGTGTCGTTTTTGATCCTCATTATGAATCGTCTCGCTCGCTCGCGCGAAATGCCTGGCAAATTATACAGTTAACCGAGGAGTAAAATCTGCTCCTTTGTCTTGCGTATGTGGACTATAAAAAAGCCTCATTACTCCATGAAATATGAGTTACACTCGCTTCAACAGTGTCTAGTTGACTGTCAGTATATAGAAGTGGTGAAGTAAAAGTACAGAATTAAATCACGAAACCTATTCATTTATAGAGAGTTGTAAGACAGGGTGATGACATGTCCCTAAATCTCTTCACCGTTGCGTTGGAAGCAACAGTTATTACAGTAAAATTGCTGGAGGAACTTAGCACTATGGTCAATGATCTGAATCGTGTCTCCCAAAGGGTTATTAGGATAAACATAAACTACTAAATAAGATCAGGTCTTTTTGCTAAATTAAAATCGAAATTGCAATTACCTTCAACATAGGCAAATGACAGGTTAAGACATCCAGGATATGATTGTTCTGGGTCACCATTTCTTATTACATGTGTCAGTTTTGAATACATTTTATCAAGAAATCTTTCTGACAGTTTTTTTACCCAAGCATGGTCATACTTCATTTCACGCTCTGCTATCTCACATGCTGCACCTATAAACAATAGAAAATCATTATTGTAAAAAAATTTGACTTGCAACAAATAATATATTTGGCCACATGCCGAATTCCTGGCCGAATAGTCGAATATTAGGCGAAAGTATTCGGCCGGGAATTAAGTACTGTTTTTAATTCAGAGCGTCTATTCTCGGAAGAATCTTTGTCTGCAAGAAGAAAATTAGTTAATTTATTATTAAAACTACTGCCTGAAAATGCAGAAAAATTAGTCTTTTCACACCATAATCTTCAAAAGCACAGACATTTATCTGATAGTTATTTTTTATAATACGGAAGTTGTTCACAATTTTTGCGAACAATTGAGAATGCAATTAAACACGGCTAACAACGAAATAGATAACTTAACCATGGAAAACATCACTTTGAAAAAACAAACAGCTGAACAATAAAATACCATTAAAATATTTAAAAAAAATTGTAGCGAAACACGAAGTAGTATTCAACTATAAAAAAAAAAACAAAGCTGTAAGGTTAAAAATATTAATATTATTCAGAGAAAGAAACTGGATATGAATTTCACTGATCTTGAGACAAAAACTTGTGAAGGAAACACATCTGAAGTAGCTACATGCAATAGAATCAGTAACTGGACAACACAAGTGCACATACTTAATTTTAAAAAGTGCACTCAATACACAACAGATGGCACTATAATAAAGAAAACAAAGTAAACAGTAATCAGCAACTTTCTAAATTGAAAACAAGCCAAAATCCCAATTAATTATATAACAACAATTCACAGGGTTGGTTACGCTACTTATACAATCAAGAACAAAAATCAGTACAAAAATTACCAGATCATTTCAACTACAAAACCCTATGCCACTATGGAGGAAATTCTTAAACCTATTATTTATAAACTTGACGAATCGGAAGATAATTATCTAATTATATGTATAGGAGAAAATGAGTAGTAACAATGCTTAAATCCTTTCAAAAACTAACATATTAGTATTTAATGTTTTACAGAACAGATATTTAAGGGGAAATATAACCTCAAATGGCTTAGCAAGATCCTCCATTATACCGAAAATATTGCAGCATTAATTTTGAAATAAATGTTGAGATAATTTATACTATGTTAGACGAAAACATGACTCTGTAAAATTTTCTCGATAGAAAAAAATCCAAAGTTACCTTCAAACTGAACAATAAACCGCTGTTATTCATAAAATACTTTAAATAAGATCATGAAACTTTGCATACTAACTGAACTAACTATAAAGCAGGGCTTATGTTTTTTATTTTTTAAATTACCATTATTTTCACTATAAAAAAGAAATTACCTAAACTATCGGCGTCCTGAAGCTTGTTTTCTGCCGCCCGGTTCCAAGCTTCAGTTCTCTTTGCTTCCCAGTACACACAATTAAAATGGCAACTAAAAAAGGGAACCATAAATGGTTGACGAAGGGCATTAGGAAATCCTATAGAAGGAAAAGATAGAAATAGAAGATAGAGATTATCTTAGTCTACAGCATAATAAAACAAACGGAAAAATGGTCAATAAAAAATATAAATCATATAGTTCCATACTTAAAAAGTGCATATATAAATCGAGACAAATACAAAGTAAGAAATATATTGACAATAATAAAAATAAATGTAAAGGGACATGGGCGGTAATTAATGAAAATATTGACGACCAAAATACGAAAACACAAATTGACAGAATAATAAAAAATAATCGGATATATGACGCAATTATTTTAAAAGGAAGGATACGCCCATCTAAATATTTTACTCCTAACTTCATACAAGAAAAATTAGCGCATGTCATTATACAAACGTCATAAACAGGGTCGAATTTCGTAGTATAATTATCGTATTTGTACCATTATTTCATAGTGTTATGATGCTGTGTTTCGTATGGTGAGTGTAGAGAACCGGAGACCCTTTTTACTGGAAACAAGGCATTCCATCTAAGTCCTCACGGGTGACAACGCATCTGCATTTTGATTCGTAATCGAGGATAGATGTAGATGTCTATGAGCCACAGCAACCACTTACTACCAGGTGGACTGTGTGCTCGTTTGTCACCCTATCCTATAAAAAAATTTAGTGTGTAGCGTAATAAATAACGTATTGTTAATATACTAATCGTAATAATACTAAGCGAAAATACCATAATTTTACCTTAAGGTCCGACCGACTTGTAGTATTATTGGGTCCTTTTACTTTTTTAATATTAACCCTACGATATCGAGAACTTCGTTTGAGTACCTCGTTTTTTTAATAAAATTAGCATTAGCTCCCTTTCTGGTCAATCAGTTCTCGATCCATGCATTTATGTTGTATCCTTGATACAACTATAATGTCTAATGAATTTCAAAATATGTTATGAATCAGATTTTCAGTTTCAATTAAATAGGTATAATTTCTTTTGTACTCTTTTCATTTTACCCTTATAGAATATAAAATATATTGGGTATCTATATTCAAAATTAAGCTTACACTAAGTTCTTTAGACAAAAATAAAAATAAAACCGTCAAAAAAGTCAAGTTTATCTATACGTTTCGGTAAAAAAAGAAACATGAAACATCAAACATGATATAATTTTTGACAAATAGTATAATTTTATTTTCCATGTACAATATTTTTGAGGATCTGAATCCAACCCTGGCCTAATCTTGGTAAAGTAACTAAACTGACTAACAGTAAAATAAAACGTTAATAATTTTATTGTAACAAAATTAATATAAAGTTATTTACTGATGATACGATATTTTGTTCCTTTTTAATCCCTTTATCATAAATTTTGCATCTTTTTACCACGCAACTAGGCATATTTATGACAGGCAAATCTGTCCTGCGCGCGCACCACTGACGACCGATTCGCGTTGGCCCTAAACTGTAATTTTAGGGCCAGCACACTGATCCGTTTTAGTCGGTTTTAGTTATTCGGTCGGCCCGGTCCTTACGTTAGTAATATATAAGACAATGATATGACGACCCAAAGAAAATAAGTGACATATTTAATGACTATTATATAAACTTGACAAATAACATTAAGTTTAAATAATGTTGACGAAATAAACAAAACTATCACGACTAATAATATACATACCATATTTCTTAAAGCTACTTACGAAATGGAAATATTTCGGATAATTAAAAGTCTTAATAACACGAACGCAGTAGTATTTGATGACATAACAACCACTGCAATTAAAATATCCGCACGATACATACAAGGCTGCACTAAAAGTATCGGGAATGGAATATTTCCACTGTTCCTGTCATATTAAAATTTTTTTAATTGAAAACTCCTTGGTTTTAAAAATCGAATACCATTTATTTATTTAAAAAAGGATTCTCGGTCTTGTCACAAGGTTTTGTCAAACTTGTTTAGACGTTGAGAAAATGGAATTGAATCGAGAAAATTCAAGAGCGATGATTTATTATGACTTTCGAAGTGGTTTAATACAAAAACAGTGTGTTGACCGGATGATTTCTGCATTTAGTGATGAAGCCCCATCCAAAACCACAATTTATCGCTGGTTTGCTGAATTTCAACGTGGACGTGTCAAGCTCAGTGATGATCCCCGTCAAGGTCGTCCAAAAACTGCAGTCACCCAAGAAAACGTTGATGCTGTGCGTAAGCTGATTGAGGAAGATCGACATGTGACATACCACGAAATTCAGGCAACTTTAGACATTGGCATGAATCAAATACAAATAATCTTGCATGAACAATTAGGTGTAAAAAAGTTGTTTTCTCGATCGGCTCGAGTTACTTGGTGCGTCAGAACTCTCGAAAGATTCCACGCAGGATCCTCAAATGCTGTATACAACATCGTATCAGGTGACGAATCCTGGATATACGCATACGAACCCGAAACAAAAAACCAGTCACGAGTTTGGGTGTTCGAAAATGAGTTAAACAACAAAAATTGTTCGTTCACGGAGTGTTGCAAAAAAAATGGTGGCCACGTTTGTCTCCAAAACCGGCCATGTTTCGACTATTCCTCTTGAGGAACAAAGAACGGTTAATGCAGAATGGTATGCTAGCACTTGTTTGCCACAGGTCGTTTCTGAACTCCGTAAAGAGAACGGCAACCGCCGCATCATCCTCCATCACGACAATGCGAGTTCTCAAACCGCACACAGAACAAAAGAGTTTTTAGAGCAAGAAAACATAGAATTATTAGACCATCCGCCGTACAGCCCCGACTTAAGCCCTAATGATTTCTATACTTTCCCTAAAATAAAGAATAAATTGCGTGGACAGAGATTTTCATCACCTGAAGAAGCTGTGGACGCCTACAAAACGGCCATTTTGGAGATCCCAACTTCCGAATGGAATGGTTGCTTCAATGATTGGTTCCATCGTATGGAAAAATGTGTCAAATTTCGCGGAGAATACTTCGAAAAGCAATAAATACATTTTTAAATAGTAATTTTGTGTCACTTCCTTGATTCCCGAAATTATCAGTGCCGCCCTCGTATGTCAACCGCTATGTTATTTAATTAATATGTTTTTTGAAGAAGGTACCTTCCCAAATATATTGAAAAAATCAATCGTTAAGCCACTTATTAAGAAAGGCGAAACAACTATTGACAAAAATATTGCAGAAGATTATGCTGAGAAGACTTCAAGAATTTACTACAAGTCATCGTTTACTTAAGGAGGAGCAATTTGGGTTTAAACAGAATAGTACAACCTCGTTATCATAATTTAATTTGATTAAAATAGTCACCCAGGCTATAAACGATGGCCTTCCAGTTTATTTATAGGATAGGGTGACAAACGAGCACACAGTCCACCTGATGGTAAGTGGTTGCTGTGGCCCATAGACATCTACATCTATCCCCGATTACGAATCAAAATGCAGATGCGTTGTCACCCGTGAGGACTAAGATGGAATGCCTCGTTTCCAGTAAAAAGGGTCTCCGGTTCTCTACACTCACCATACGAAACACAACAGCATTAAGCTACTGTTTCACGCTGGTATTCTGTGAGAGCGTGGTCTTTCCCCGGTCGAGCCGACCCATTCGTGCTACAACTATACTTCTAATATAACTGCAGCATGGCTCTACCACGTCCAGTTGCGGCAATCTTCCTGGACATGAGCAAGGCGTTCGATTTCGTGGACCACAAATTGCTCTTACACAAATTAGAAAAATATGGGATAAGAGATAAAGCTAACGACTGGTTGAGAAACTACTTATGTGAGAGACAACAATGTGTGGAAAAATCTAAAATCAATAGAGACAAAAAGTGTTATACAGAAATGACGATCAGCCAAATGACTTTGATTAATAAATATGAATAAATATAAATTATTGTGGGGCAATTCAGTAGATATAATAAAAGTATTTAGAGTACAAAAAATGTGTGCATGCAATCTATTGAGCATGGTATACGGATAGCTGTAAGGCCTTGTTTAAAAAGTAAAATATTTTAACATTAACATGCTCGTAAATTAAGGAAGTATGCATATTTGTAAAACAACATCCTTAACACTGTGAAAGGCATATAGATGTAACTGAACGAAATGTAGCTCCCAGAAATAAACATAAACTATATTTACCTCAATGCAGGCTCAAATTGTATGAAAGGAACTCTTACGTAAATACTATAAAGGTATAAACAAAATACCCAACAACTTCTAAGGAGTTACCTTTAACCATGTTTAAAAAATTGATGCAATGGTTAAAAGAAAAATGTTTTTACGACCTAAATGAATTTATGTCTTTTTGTTAAAAATAAACCTGAAGTCAGTAATATTGATAATTGATATATAATAATTTATTAATTATGAATAGGGTTGCAATCTCTAAAACCTGCCCCTCAGGACCGGAAGCATAGGTTTCCCGGATTTTGGAGCTTTCACCCTGGACATTTCAATACTTTTTTCATTCACTTACATCTTGATTAAAATATATTTTACTCCGTACTTGATAGAAGAAAACTTTAATTTTAAGCCTCTTTTGTGGCATGAAATAGTGTGTTTAATTGATCTTAATAACTTTAATAACATCAAAATGTCCTCAAATTTTAAAATAGACTATAATCAGAACTAAAACTTAAAAAACCATAAATTGTAACTTTTTTAGTAATCCTACATAGTTATTTCTATATATTACAGACAAATTAAATACAATTTATTGTTTACATTCAAAGAACTGTGTAAATAATTTAAATAAAAAAAAAACTACATATAGTTTTTAATTATTTGGCAATTTTTAAAGCAATAACATTATAATGCCTTCAAATTTTAAATAGACTAGACAGATTTAAAACTTAAATAGCTTATGTTATGAATTTTAACTTTGTGGTAACACTTAAACGAATACGGTAGTTTTCTTAAAAAACTAGTGTTAGTTAGTCTTTCAGACAATTTACGGTCAATTTACATTCAAATAATATAAATAATGAATAGAATTTAAAATTTATATTGTTAAATAATAAATAATAATGAATAGAAATAAATAATAAATAACGAATAGAAAATATCCATATTTCTTAGAATTTTAACAAAATTATTCATATATTAAATTGCAGGACTCACTCACCGATTCATCAAAGCCCAACCCAAACCCTTACACCTAGAATCATTATGACAGTACCATCAATATATTTTTACTAACATAATCTAAAGACCAGTTAAAAAGTAAATAAGAAAAATTGCACAATCAGTTTTTAAAAGAGCAAACCTCGAGTTTCTTGCCTGTTCTTCACTGCACCTTTGTCAACAGACATAGTGTTAAAAAACAAAATGTTCATGACTTATTTTAGTAACAATTGCTGTTTAATGAAATAAAAAATTATGAATGAACTATTTTGACTTTGACTTTAGACAGTTGAAATTCGGCGCATAGGCCGCTCGCGTAGTAAAATAGCTTCGGCAGCGCGTGCGGTAAACAAACCCGAAGCTTTTATTTACATAAATTATGGGAGCTTTTATTCACATAAATTACCCGTAGCTTTTATTTACATAAATTAAATTGTAGTCCGGGTGAAACCCTAATTTTAAATTTAACCCCGCCCGGACGCTCCCAGGACGTCTTCCAAAATAGGACAAATCCGGGGCAACCCGGACGGATGGCAGCCCTAATTATGAACAACCTGAAAGTATGGACATTAACAATTAAGAACAATCATTACATAATGTGACATTTTAAATTCTATTACTTAAATGACAAAATAATATTGACATCAATTAATCTAGCTTTTAATAATCATAAATGTACGAAATTGAATTCCCACTTGTTGTTTAAAAAATATTTTATTTTGCCTATAAAATATTTGCCCACCATATAAAGTGGTAGAATGTAAATGGGCCATTAGACATAATTTAAGATCTTACTTTAACGTACACATATATTCTGGCAAATAAATGAATTTGAATTTTTATGCACCTGTGACTATTTTTATGCTAATAATACAAATACTTCATTATAAAATAAATCAATATATACCGAATAGTAGCCGAATATTCGTTGCAAGGCTAAAACATACAAAAGAATTTTATTTAATTCTTTACACATTAATTCACTTGTTCAGTATTAATCAGAATGTTTGGACGTAGAAATAAATGAATATTCGAGAAAGGTCACAACTGGGTAGTAATTGTGTAACGGGTTGTGTGTTTACTTAAGAGTTAGAGGGTTGAATCATAGCTTTAGTTCAATTTCTATCGAAATCCTACTATGCATCTGTATAGTAATTGGTATCTGTATAGTATACATGCTGCTGACTTTGTGAAAATAAACGCATAAACATATTGTTACCCGCAAATATATTTCCATTTTTATCTTACGCGCAAGTTGACTAGATTTAAACTGCACGACTGCTCGAGCAAGAGTAAATCTTGCGTAAACCGCGCCGTTAGCTTTTTAAACTAAATGCAAGTATATGCAAGCTAACCCTATTTCCTGCGATTTTAAGATAATTAATCCAGGTTTTCACCAAGCCAAAATTGACAACTTTTCAACCGACTTTAAAAAGAGGAGAGGGTTCTAAATTCAACTGTATTTTTTTGTGTGTTACCTCAGAACTTTTTTCTAGGTGAACCGATTTTAATGATTTTTTGTTATTTGAAAGCCGGTGCTTCTCATGTGGTCCCACATAAATTTGATCAAGAGTCTGACCAGTAGTTTTTGAGTTATCCTCAATAATGCGTATTTAATTGACTTCGACTACATTGATGATGTTCTCCTTTTATTTACATTGAATTCGGTTGCACAAAATTTTTAACTTTACCACTTGTGTGTTGTCAACACGTGTTGGTAACAAAAGTTTCTGTAAATACTTTCTGTTGGCAACAAAAATTGTAAACAAATGTCGGGAACTGTGTTTCCATTTTTGGCAGTAAACATTCAAAAGAATATGCTTGTTGCAAACATTTATTTCACTATGTACACTTAGAGTTGGCAACATGTTTGTCACGTCGACGAACGAATTAACCTATGCGTTAATTGATTTATTTCGAACACAAAGTGTAACTATAGGATGTCAGTGATGAAAATTACAAAAAAAAAATGAAAAAAAATGCATGGAAAACTATCAGCAGTGCTATGTTGCTATACGAACTTGAAATACAAAGAGAAAAAAAGGCAGATTTTCGAAAAAGAAAATAAAAAAAGACAATAAATCTGTTGTAATAAAATACGAATATAAATAATTAACACCGGTAGCAAAGAACCTTTCACCATGGCGCTTCGTTTTAAAATGCCAAAGTTTCTTGTACGGTTGTACGCGACAAGCAGCGACTTTTGATGTCACGGCGGCGCCTATGACAAGATGCAGCACATGCCAAGGCATTTCGGCACGTGGAATGACACAAAGGCGACCGAATCTAAGCGCACAGACTACAATATTTATAAAATCGACACTTACCTAGTCCTACAGCCAAAGGTGTAGGTACTGTGCCACTTCTCATCCCTCGTTCCTGGCCACCACCACTTTGAATGGGTTCTACACGAACTCTTGGTCTTCGTCTTATAAATAATGCTCCAATTCCTTTTGGGCCATAAATTTTGTGTCCAGATATTGACATAAGATCAATATTCATTGCATTTACATCAAGAGGTATTTTACCTAAAGCCTGAGCTGCATCAGTGTGGAAAAATACCTTTTTCTTTTTACAAATAGCTCCAATTTCAGCTATAGGCTGTGTGACTCCTGTAACAGTATAAATGTTTGTTTATGAAGGATTTAATTAGTAATCTAGGAACTCTTATTCTTTTTTTGTATTTACATACAACATACCTATTTCATTATTGACCGTCATAACAGAAACTAGGCTTGTTTCAGGAGTTAAAGCCTCTTCTAATTCTTGCAAATTAATTATTCCATTTTGTCCTACAGGAAGATATGTAACTTTAAACCCTTCACCCTCCAGAGCACGACAAGAATCAAGTACACATTTGTGTTCCTGCAGAGAAAAAGTTACAATCTTTATATCATTCTTACACACATTAATAACGATGAAAGGTAATGAAATAAAATAATTAATTACAATTTGAGTTGTTACAATATGTTTCTTTCTTGGGGCATAGAAACGGGCAACACCTTTAACAGAAATATTGTTGGATTCTGTAGCACCTGACGTAAAAATGATTTCTTTTGGATCTGCTCCTATTAAATGTGCCACTTGCTCTCTTGCTTTTTCTACAGCTGCTTCACTCTCCCATCCATATGTGTGTGTACGGGAATGTGGATTGCCATGGTAACTAACTATATATGGTAACATAGCATCAAGGACTCTTGGATCCTAAAAAATACTATAAAATATTATTTAAATACTGCAACACATATATATTATTAAATGTATAATTGTCACAACCTTTAACAATATTGGTTTATTTTGACTACAGATTGCTTGATTTTGTAACCCTTCAAAATGGCCTTAGAATTACAATTTATAATTTTTTTATAGGAGAGGGGGCAAACAGGTAAGCGATTACAACTGCCCATGAGCAACTGCAACACCAGGGGATTTGCAGATGCGTTGCCGGCCTTTTAAAAAGGAGTAGGCTCTTTTCTTGAAGGTCCCTAAGTCGTATCGGTCCGGAAAAGTCTCTGGTGGTAGTCGATTCCACAAGGATGTTGTGCGAGGAAAAAAACTTCTTTTAATTCGCATGGTGGTGGACCGCCAGTCATCCAGATGGTATGAATGGTATCGCGAGTTTTATCTCAATGTGCGATGGTGAAATTGTGCGGCTGGAATTAGTCCGAACAATTCCTCAGAGCACTCCCCGTGATAGATGCGATAAAATACGCAAAGAGATGCAACATCTCTTCGCAGTGCCAGTGAGTCAAGCCGATCGGAAAGAGCTTGGTCGCCGACGATTCAAACAGCTCTGCGCTGGATGTGGTCAAATGGAAAGAGCTGGCACTGGGGAGTCCCGGCCCAGAGATGGGAACAGTATTCTTTGTGCGGCCGAACCTGCGCCTTGTAAAGTTGCAGTGAGCCGGCATGAAATACTGTCCCACTCTGCAGAGTACGCCAAGCTTTTAAGGGGACAATTTGGCCTTCTCTTCCAAGTAAGAAAGGTTAATGTATGCAGCTACCGAAGTATGTGGTGTTAGTAAGAGGAAGAATGAAAGGAAAAATAATACGTTATGGTGGGATGCAGAGATATGTATGGAAGTTGAAGCAAAGAAGAGAGCATGGCTAGATTTACTAGCAACAAAGGCTGCTAATTCTAGTGGTATGAATGGTGATATTGAAAGAAAAAATGCAGTCTTTAGACATCTTAATAAGAGAGTAAAAGAAGTAGTTGAAAGAAAAAAGCAAGAAAGAACGGATAAGAATGATAGAATAATATCGGATAACTTCCAGGCAAATATTAAAATGTTCTGGAAACTTGTAAGAACTGCCAGGGGACATTCAAAACAGCCTATAATGAATGTTATAAGAGACGAGAATGGCTATATTCTGAAAGATGAAGTTTTGAGTTTAAAGAGATGGAAGGAATATTTTGAAAGCGTGTTTATGAGTGAGGAGACAACGTGTGTACTAAGTGAAGTAGAAACTCCGAAGGAAGAGGAAAGAGGTAGCGAGATGAGTATAGATGAAATAATGAAAGCAATGAAAAGCATGAAAGCAGGTAAGGCTGCCAATGAGTTTCACTCGAAATGCAGGCAGGCCTGCTGCACACCTTGTTTAATTTATGCCGGGAAGTGAAGCGGGTACCGGTAGACTGGTGCAAAGCCGTGATAGTCCCAGTATATAAAGGAAAAGGGTCGCAGCGGGACTGCAAAAACTACCGTGGCATCAGCCTTCTTAGCACTGTGGGAAAACTGTATGCTAAGGTACTGACTGAAAGGGTCATGAAAGAAACTGATGAAAAAATTTAGGATGTGCAAGCGGGATTCAGAAAGGGAATGGGATGAACAGATCAAGTCTTTTCCATGCGCATGATCGCAGAGAAGTTTTTGGCCAAAAGGTTTTTTGTGCATTCATGGACTTGGAAAAGGCCTATGACAGAGTGGATAGCGATGTGCTATGGCAAACACTGAACTCATTTGGGTTGAGCGCTGGCTTGATACAGGCATTGGAGTCTCTTTATAGGGACTCTAGTGCTTGTGTTAGGATCAACAGGGTCTACTCGGACTGGTTTGACATCCATAAAGGTGTCAGACAGGGCTGTGTGGCTTCCCTGTGACTATTCAACCTACTTATGGACAGTTGTTTGCAAAATCTGAAAGTTGAAGAATGCGGATTAAGAATGGGTGAGTAAACCGTCAAATGCCTTTTGTACGCCGATGATCAAGTTATCCTTGCGTTGTCGGCGGCCGAGCTGCAAATGATGGTTACATTAATGAACAGATCATTAAAAGAAAGGGGTATGAAAGTGAACACAAGTAAGACGAAGGTTATGGTTTTTGAAAGAGAAGAAAGTAAAACGATTTGTGAAATAAGAAAAGAAGGGGAGTTGATCGAGCAAGTAGATGAGTTTGTATATTTGGGCTGCATATTTAGCAGGGATGGGAGATATGATAAGGATATAGGATGACGAGTGAATGCGGGAAATAGAGTAAATGGGGCCCTGCACTCTATTGTGAAGAGTCAAAATGTGTCAAAAAAGGCACAGTTGGCTTTTACCAACAGACAAATCTTTTTTTAATGGAGATGTTTTTTTTAATGTAAACAAATTTTCAATCTGATGCATCAACATATTGTAAAATTTTTAAAATATTATTATCTAACAATAATATCTTATTACTTGACACTGGCAAAAGTACAATAATACAAGTCTTATAACTTCTAATTTCTGCTACTAACTTATATTTACTACAGTGGACCCCCAGTAATCTGGCCCCTGTCATGTCTTTTACTTGTAGGTAGATTCGAGTCACACTATGAATCCACCACGGGAAGAGGTGTCCTTTGCGAATATGTGGACAAACAAGTTTCAATTAGTTCGTGCCACGACGAATCTAGCTTAATGCATATTGTCTCAGTTCAAATGTGACCATGGTAGCGGCCTAGCGGGCATTCATTATTTACTGTTTAGGTATTCATTGTGTACACATGAGATTTTTATTTTCTATTTTTATATTTGATATGTAATCTGTCCGATTACAAGATACTCTTTTTCAAAAAGTTCCCAACTACCAGGGGCTATGGCAGTACTCTATAGTCTGACAAAGTCGATAATCCGGCACGCCAAAACATTTGTCAAATTATTGCAGGTCAACTTTAATGATACTTTAAAACTAGTAAATTCTGTATAAAAAGCCAGAAAGTCCTGCATTATAGCATTATTGTACATCAATTAAGACTAAAACGCCAACAAAACTGTTCTGTAGGATAGTAAAACCAACCTCCATAGGTTTTTCCTCCATTTGTGGAACAAAGTTAACATATGTCAGCTGAGCTGTTTATTCGCCATTGAGCTGCACCTTAGTGCAGAAGTTTATGTGATCTGTATTTCTGATTGGCTTATAGGTAATTAGCACAATATTTTTCTTGCCCTTTATGTCAAACTGTCATTAAAATGCTATCAAAGACTATGGTAAAGTTTAGTCAAATTTAAAAAATTCTCCTGGCATTAGAGCGGCAGCATTTTTATTGCAGTTAGTCAATATCTAAGTAGTTTTGTGATAAGGTTAAATAAGTGGCTATGCTTACCATAGGAGTTGTTGCTTGTGCATCAAAGTAAAGTGGTCGACCAATCTCTTCATGTTTTAACGAGAATTTATCATTATCAGCTAAAATACAAGAATCATAATTAAACGTTAGTTAATTACGATGGTAAATAGTCATAATGATCATAATGTTTACCTGTGTTTGATATCTTTCTATGTCCTGGTAGTACCATTACAATTACTTTTTCCTGTTTCAATATTCGTTTAATTGTCTTATTTAAAAAGGAATGGGTTATATTGTTAATTATTCGCAACATTTTAAAGTTATTGAGATTCTCATGAATCTTTTGAAAAATTCGCCGACAATTCCTTCCTAATCCTGGCAGAAATAATCAGGGTTGCTAGATGCAATTTTATGATTTCCCCCATATTGATTTTTAGTTTTTACCAGAAAACAACCAGTTTAATAAAAAAACAAATATAAAATTACAAAGCTTTTATTTTATTTGTTAATGAAGGAAGAAAATGTGGATGAAATACTTAGTTTTCGACTTTTTTTAAATAATCTTCATTAAAAATAGCAATTACTTCATTTACGTTCTCTTCATCTCCTATTTGATAGATTTTTTTCAGACTTAAATTAACATTGTAGTGCTTGTCTCAAACTTTGTACAACCGCCACGATCTTGTAAGGCACTTCTCACTCTTATTATATGATCTGCGGTTTTCTTGAGCATACTTTTTTGATGATGTTTATCATCGTAAATGCAAGTTCTACAGCAGCATTAGCAAATGGCAAACTCAAAATAGCCGTTGCAAGTTTAGTTAATTTAAAAAAGCAAACATTTTTGTATAATTAATAATACTTCTCCCCATCTCCTCAAAACTCGTCAGCTGTTTTGGATTTTTGCCATAGCTGATGAGGTAGAATTTTCCATTCTTGCAGCGTCGCATCAACGTTTTCCACTCCTCCAACCACATCCTTGAAAGCAACAACTATTTCTTCAATATTAGGTCTTACTTGGCTCTGTTATAGCCCATCAATGTCAGGAGATCGGCTAACGCATCTCTTTCACGCTGCTGCGTCAGCGACATAAGGCCTATATAATCGATCTCCAGATGAACGCCAGTTAGTCTACAAGAAGTCTACATTCCGTCTCAGTCAATCTTCAAGTCTCATTCCAGTCTCAGTCATCGTTACTAAGTCGTTACTATATCCTTACAAAATCTCTCTAAGTCCTAGTTATTATAAGTTTATTAATTTCTTATTGTGAATTTAATTAAATTATATTGTGTCGTGTATTAAATAGTTTTTTTTAAAAAAGCTCTATCCACGGTCCCGTATAATAGCTCGTTGCGACTTGCGGCGAGAAAATTGAAAGTTTTTCTAATAATTTTATATTTTTGGGTAAGCGTATTTGGATTTCTTCAGATCTCTCATCTTCTTGTATTTTAGCCGTGATATGGAGAGTTGAACAAAAAGTACGTTCATTTCGTTGCACTTTTTATTTTTTATCATTTTTCAAAATTCTAGCCCCCTAAATTCCCCATTACGAATCCCCCCCCCAAATTTCCCCAAAGGTTCTATTTCCGCAGTTATTCCTCAAGTAATTTTTTCCCCAAATTTATTATGAAAAAAAACCCAAACGATGGTGGAGATAATACTTCCTCCTCAGAGTAATTACTAGTATAGAGAGAGTCCTAAAATTGGAACAAAATTCTTATAGCTAAACTCTTTTTACATATGACGTTTAATAAGGTACAAAATAGGATAGCTATATTATTCTCACCCTTTTCTTTTATAATGTGGTTGCCGTTTTTCCATTCCATAGACCTCTATGGATGTGCCATTAGCGAAAAAAAAATGTTGTCGATAAATTCATTTAGTGTATGAAATTAAGGATTTTTATTAATGTGGTTCGTAATACCCGTACTTATTAATATCAACGAAAGTTTATGGAAACTTGAACAACAAAACGTAGTCCAATAATGCAGAATATCGTACTATCTTTGTACAATTTAAAATATAGTGTGAAAAGTTCACTATGAAAACTCCTTCAACTCAGTCAGTATATTTCTGCCAAGGTATCCTTAGACCTAAAATGGGTTTCACAAGGAATAATAACTGTGTTTGTTTAATCGACATTGCATTTTTGTCACGGAACGTTCACTGAGGGTACTGCTACGTTAGTTTATTTTTATAGAACAAGGGTGCCAAACGTGCACACAGACATCTACATTTATCCTCGATTAAGAATCAAAATGCATATGCGTTTTTACCCCTGAGGACTAACATGGAATGCCTCGTTTCTAGTAAAAAAAAGTCACCGATTCTCTACACTCACCATTCAAAACACAGCAGCCTTAGTTGCCATTTTAAGCTGGTAATCTGTGAGAGCGTGTTCCTACCCCGGTCAAGCAGACCCGCAGACGCTGGCTTTACCACGTAAAGTAGTTTAGTGATATAACAGTGGCACGACCGCATTCTCTTTTGTCGTTAGATCACAATTACCAATAAATCGATTACTAACGTATTACCCGTTTTTCTCTCTGCTCTCTCGAGATATTATCCATCATTCATTAATACAGCCAATCAAAAGTCCACTGCTGAATATAGAAGGAACAACAGCCGTAGTTTCCTCTCTTAGCAAGTGGTTTAGCAACCGCAAATTTTTTATTATTTTGAGCTGTTATCATGAAGATACTGTTGCCTATCTCATGTTTCATTTCTCTCTATCGTCATTTATGATAGTCACGGGATAGTATGGGTCTTAGAGCTTCTGAGTAATAATATATTATATTATTTGGTAGGAGCTATTAACCCTTCAATCCCCATAAAATTCCCATGCAGTCGCATGCGCCTGGCAAATTCCGAGCGATCGCATGCGACCGCACACACCCACAGCACTAAAAAATTTAAAACCATTAAAACTTATATTTAGAGACTTCTTTTCTATGAAGAAGTTTGGCATTATAAAATCTATACAAAATTCTCTATCTTGTGGTCTAAACTAGGTCTAAAAAGTCAGGCTTTACTATATTACAAAAAGATTTTATTGTATTTTGATAACAAAAAAAACATACCAAGCGGATGTCGGCAGCGTGAAAATCACAATTATTTCTATATATTATTCGAAATTATTTACGTAAAAAGATAAATTATATTTATCTTTTTATATATACAAAAAACTTTTATAACAATTTTATAATAAAACACTATTAAAATACTAGAACAATCCAAAAATCAACACAACAACATCCAAATGAAAATGGCGTACGTAATGAACGTAGAATATAAATTAATATCCATAGATTAACTGTTTTTAATCCACTAGGATAGAAAATTTCATATTGATTCTATAATACCAAACTTCTTCATAGAAAAGTAGTCTCTAAACATAAGTATTTATGGGTTAAAGTGCTGTGGGTGGATGCGGTTAAATTTGACCGCTTGAATTTTGACGCAATATCGAAGCGGTGAAATTTGGAAGCTTGGCTTTGAGAGAATTCTTTTTCGCGCCGCTACACATCATTATCAAGATCCTGCCTTACTTTTATGATTTAGAAATATTTTCATCCAAGCAGATTAAGATTTTTTAAATATAATCGATGATTTATATTTTCCGCTAAGCAAGTAGTAAGTCCATATAAATAAAAATCAATTACCGTATGAATGAAAGATCTGACATCTGACTTAAGAAAGGCTGGACAGATTTCGATGAAATCTCACACTTATAATTGGACCCGGTAAGTGGCATTGTTGTCGAGATCTAGAAAACAGTTGTAAAAAGCCGGGCAGATCGTGTCAGTATATAAAATTGGGATTACAAATGGGATCCAACTCGCTCATGTAACGTGTTTCTGTCTAGAATTAGTATTGATAACTTTCTAATTATTAGTTTTTAAAGTTTGCGAAACGAATGAAATGTGTATAATAATGATTATCAATTGAATTAGAAAATAATTTACTTAAATATTTTTAGGCATATAGAGTAATAAAAATAAATAACTACACAAAAACGATTATATCGATGTCGATTGTTGCTAACATTGCGAACGAAATCACTAAAGATCAAAATTGTAATGTCTCGTAAAGCAACGTCAAACGAATACTGCCACAAAATGGATGTCATTTTTCTATTAAATCGGAACATACGAGTAAACTTACTCTTATATTTGGCATAGTATAAAGAGACCAAAGATGACCACTTGACATTTCTATTGCCACGTGTGAATTACGCGCAACATCTTTCAATAGATTTGTCTCTATTTGCAATAATGGAAAATTAAATTAGAAAAAGCGAGACAAGTATACCAACTCAATTTATATAGTATTGTATGTCTCTAAGCATACGTATGTTTACTCTAAGACTTCGTTAACCATAGATTACTGTATATAGTAACAAAAGAGTATATTAACTGTTCTGTTCTATACATGCTTTGAGACATTTAACACATTGATACATAGAATAATTTTCTATGAGTATGTTGAAAACGATTTCAATCATAATGCGTTAATATATACTGCTACAAGCTAGACATCTATACTTATAATAAATCTGTAGAGGTCAATTCTGTACATGAAATATATTTCCAAAATAACTATCAGGGGGTGATTAGTGATCGATACTGATGCCAAAAATGCAAACAGTAAAATTTTTGTCTGTCTGTCTCTCTGTGTGTTCGTTATAGAAACAAAAACTACTCGACGGATTTTAACGAAACTTGGTACAATCATTTTTCATACTCCTGGGCAGGATATAGTATACTTTTCATCACGCTACGATCAAGAGGAGCAGAGAAATGAAGGGAAATGTTGGGGAAACGGGAGAAATTACTCCATTTTTAAAGAGAGCTTTTCGAGACTCTGGCATAGGGATAAGATAATTTTATCTCTTGTCGGTGGATAGAATAGGGGGATAAAATTTTTGGCTCCTGTCCATGCTAGTCTGGCTGCTTGTTTAATCCATAGGCACACGACACCTTCGGTTTTTGTTGAACAAAACGCGTAAGCGACGCCGTTTCGGCGGCGTTTACGACTTTTTTCTCGTGAGCATTGAGCTTTAATGCTCCCTATCTCATTTCTCCCACGTTAAATCCTATGAATTTATGTGTCTGTCTCTGTTCGCGACGGCCTAACAACGCTAAGAAACAAAGTGATGAAATAATATTGTTTTTTGTATTAATAATGAAATTACCGACAAAACTGGGTGAAAACGTGTATTAATATAGTTGTTTAGCATGTTTATAACTCTTAATATATTTGTATAGAATGTCGTTTTGATAATAAGTAATGTACAGCGCGTCTTATCGTAGAACTCTCTAGAAGTTTTAATTAACTGCGTAATAGTTCATACTAAAAATAATGAAAATAATTTTACGTTCTAAAAGAGTTATAAATATGACATTGAATTAGTATATGGCTTATAGATTAAAGAAGTGTAGGAATATTTTGTATAATTAAACGCATTTGATAGTTATATAAAAATTAAAGAATTAATGTACCCAAATATTATGAAAATTTGGGACATTTCGTTTAATAACTTTTTACAATGTTAATGTTTTGAGGAAACCTTTATGATATACTAATAAAGTACCAGACTACCGATTTAATGATGTATAGCATGCTAGTGTTGCAATTAGTTTTGTATAGAAAATATTGCAATTTATGCCATTTGTATAGTGAAAAGTTTATGCAATAAAGAGGCAAAACGGAAAATGGCAAGCGGCTCACTGTAAAGTATTGCTAAAGTCTACCTTAGGGGCTCGTGACCCAGTAGGAGTAGTAGTGTGAAGAACTACCAGTGACAAGTGAAGTGAAGTGAGTGGTATCCGGTGGTAGCTGAAGTGACTAGTAGCAGTATATAGTAAATAGTGAAAGTGTTAGCTAGCCGAAAAAGGTCGTAACTGATATTCGCAGTTACACATAGTGAAAGTGTTAGCTAGCCGAAAAAGGTCATAACTGACGCGATTCGCAGTTACACATAGTGAAAGTGTTAGCTAGCCGAAAAAGGTCGTAACTGATATTCGCAGTTATACAAGTGATAAAATCAGCTAGTTTAGTTGATAATAGCTGCTAGTCAGTAGTGTTAGAAAACCAGCTACTACCAATAGATATTTGATACCACCGTACAATTTAAATCTTTTGAAATATACAGTGACCAACCAATAGTGAACAACCGTGGTCAATAGTTATAAAATTTCGCGACTAATTAAACAGTCGAACCGCTGGCCACTACCTTGCTATTTGTATTTATTAATCGTGCATTTTTATTTGAACCTCAGTCCACAATATTTCAGCGGCAACCACAAAGACGGCAGTGAAAGTACCCACCGGAAACTATAGGTACAGGACGTGAGCGACTCGCGAAGTATCTTCGACAACATTTACTCCGGAGAGTTTCGCCCATCCGGCACAGTCTCTTTTTACTGTCTCTTTTTCGTTTCATTGAGTTTCAAATCAAAACGATGCTAAAGAAGTTTTCACTTCAAAAACATTTAAAATTAATCGCGATAAAATCCGTAAAAGCAGTTTTAATCAATGTGTAGTGGTCGCGTAAATATAAGAAATCATTGATTCAGGTAATTTAATTTTTCCGGTTAGGCAGCAAATACCTGGTGTTTCTCCTTTAAATTTTTTTGCTTTACAAAATTTACATATTTGATCTATTTTTCCAACCACTATACTTGGATATTTGTTATGATTGCTAGTGGAATTGTAATGAAACGTTTCGTGGTTAAGACTGTCTTTTTTGACGTTTTTCACGAACCACCAGTTGTGTCCAATACATGAGCCAGCAAATGTTTGTGTTGTCGAGTGTTACTTATTCTTTCTCTAGATTAATTTCATCTGTTATCAATTTGGGCCTTTATTTCTGTTTTTCTCCGTGATATTTCTCTAATTCTATGTGTTTTCTGTAATCCGCTATCTGCTCTCCGGTCGGTTATATCGGTGTCAATGATAATTTCTCGTTCCAATTCTAGAGGCGCTTCTCTTTCTTCTTGTCGCGCTGTATTTGCCTTTTTGATATGGCTCGAGAACACGAAAAGACTTTTTTACGCTTCGGTATCGTTTTTAATATTTTAACTTTTGACACTGCAACTATTTACTTTGAACTACTTAAATTTACGCGAACACTACACATTAAATAAAACTAAATTTACGGATTTTATCGCGTTTAATTAACTACTCTTACTTATTTTTTTAATTCCCGACGTTTCGGGTGCTTTAATATTAATTTTTCGGTCCGATCTACGCAAAACGAGCTTACAGTATCTTGAAGTCTTGCAGTGGTATGCCTGGGTTTAATTTTGTTAATTATAGGATCCCAAGCAGATGGTAGCACCCATCCATCTTCTCTATTGAAATTAGAATGTTTTGTAATTTTAATAGCCTCGCGTATCATCCTTGGTGTTCTTTTGCGAGGATTTGTGGTTTATCAAATTTAATGTAATGGTGGGGACGATCTTGAACATGTTCACAGACTGCAGACTTCCCGGAGCGTCGGTGCTTCACGTCAGCTATATGTTCTTTCACGCGGGTTTTATGGATATTTTTGTTTGACCTATGTTACCGAAGATACACAAACCCAACGCTCCACTAGGTCCTATAGTGAGCCAGATCGATTCACCAACTTATAAGCTGGCACAACACTTGGCAAAAATACTGTCACCACTGAGAGGACATACCAGAGCACACACAAAGGATTCATACCATTTTGTTAGTGAGATAAAAGACCTACATCTCGCTTACAATGAAACTACGGTCAGTTTTGATGTTCAGCCACTATTCAGATGCCTACCTATTAAAGACTGCATCTCAATTGTAACTAGGAAGCTAGAAGATAAAGAATAGAAAAGGAAAAGAGGGCGCGTGCCTCTCGTTTCATCTTATATACACTTCAAAACTACCCCCACTACTCAAAAAAATTCTGGACTATTCTTTAAATATAGGAAATGTTCTGAAAAGTTCTTTTTTTCGAATATACTTAAAATTAATAGAAGAATCTAGAACACTTTAGACCGATGAGAATAATTGATGTTATTCGAATAATTATAAAAGGAAGAAGTAGAGGATTCCAGATAATTCTCGAACAATATTCTTCAAATATTTTTGAACAATCAAGAACATTCTAGAATGATAAGAATAACTTTTCAAATCATTTTAAAACATTGAATGTAATTTAAAATTTTTGAGATATGGATATGAGATATAGAATTTTTTGAATTTGTTCCAGAAATTTTTAGTACAATTCAAAACAGTCTAGACCGATTGAAAATATTTTAAACTAATTAGAAACATTTAAACACAATCTGGAATTTTCCAGATCATTCTCAAAATTTTTAGAACATCCTAGAATGTTCTAGATTAATTAGAATTATCTTAAGTAATTTTAAACATAGAAATATATTTGAGAACTTTCAGATCATTTTGGAAATTTTTAGAACAATCTAGAACTTTCTCGATTGTTAAAGTAATAGAATAGTCAGTTCCTAAATGGAATTAAGAATTCTTAAATATATTAGAGAACTATATATATATATATATATATATATAAAAATTCAGATGCGATGTCACCCCAGAGTACTAAGATGAATGTCTGGTTTACATAAAAAATGCCTCCGGTTCTCTACACTCATAATACGAAACACAAAGGTGTTAAGCTGCTATTTTATGCTGGTGTTCTGTGAGAGCGTGGTCCTAACCCAGTAAAGCCGACCCATTCATGCTGCAACCATAATATAACTGCAGCGTGACTCTACCACCTAAAAATATACACATATTCCTTTGTGTTTACACTTTTTTGATATTCACTCTTGTGGAAGCTTGCAAAAACTTGGCAAGCGTGTGAACTTAGCATAAGGATGCATGGGTATGCAATAATAATTTAAATAAAAAAAATAAAGTTTTAACGAGTATTAGTTTAATCAAATATATCATCGTAAGTCAAAATAGTGCGTTTGGTATCCTTTGCAGGTTGAGCGTTCCGGGGTGCTGTTGATGGTGCCCAAGAACCAGACGGCGGCCGACGCGTTAAGGTCACACGCCAATTCTCTTCAGATTCTTCTAAAGCTGATAATGCATGAGACGCCATGTCAGGTGTTTCGAATGTCAAAAACGCCCTATACAAAAATATTATTAAAATATATATATATATATATATATATATATATATATATATATATATATATAAAAACATACATTTATATTACATAAATGCCTGTTAAATAGTGTTTTGGACACCACAGACTTAGTATTTCATTCACAGAAAAAGATACCTATAAGTATTTACAACAAAGTTCCAAAAATAAACAAGGTCACCATGAAGATTATAATTTTTATTATCAGATTGTATACATAGGATTTTTTTTAACCTCTAAGATTATATGATATGAGTGCTGCGAAGCTGTTGCAGGCTGTATTTTTAGAGTGAATCAAGTTCATAACTGAGAACAGTTAACAACAAAGACTAGACGGGCTCTGCGGCCTTGATACATTGCACACTACAATCAACTAAATCTAAGAAATATATTTTGAATTTTAAATTATATGATGATATTGATAATTAAATTATTTGAATATTTTGCCGATTATTCGCATAACAATGAATTTTAATCATCTAAACACTACGGTAATATACACAGCGACATATCATTGAAACGTCAAGTAAAAAAAGGTAATACTGGTTATTTTTTAATCTTCGATCAACAATACCAACCAGATGTCGGGTCGGTGCAAGAAATCCATCTAAGTAAATAAAAGCGCACATGAGACGTGAGCTCTTATTTCGTCTAGTTCACTTGAAACACAGCCGCAATGTAAACACGTTTCACAATGCCGCAATGTGCGTTTAAAAGTTGCAATAATAATGCCCGAAAAAGTAATTTAACGGCAGGAGTGTCTTACTTTCGGTAATTACATTTATGATATGTTATATTTTAAGCTTTACACTAACAAATATTATCATATTTGAAACAAAATTACCGATCATAACCACCCCTACAAATGTTTGCCAATGTTGACCAATACACGCGCAAACATTTGTGAAAGAGAACATGGACGCATGAAGTAGATTTGTATTGTAATAATTTTAATAATTCGTTACCAAAACTTTAAATAATGGTAATTGCTACTTTTGTCTTTGTTTGTGTAACTCCAATAGATACTTAAGATTTTTTGTTAGCTTTCCTAGCTTTCTTCCCCGGTCGAGCCGAGCCATTAGTGCTACAACTGTACTACTAATATAATTGCAGCATGGCTCTACCACGTTTTAAAAGTATGCAATGGGCGATCTTATTGCTGACAGCATTTCTCCCGACAACCAAAGGAAGGATACATGAAGAAACAAACAGTATAAATATATATATATAAAAAAAAAAAAAATATACATAGATACATACATACTACGAACATAATATATACATACAAAAACTAAATAGATATACATATATTGAATTAGTTAATTAAATGCAATCAATATACAACATAGTATATTATATTTAATGGCTCGTGTGGAAAGTATGTATACCAACAATCATAAATACCCAAAACATAAAAATAATTTTAATTAAACTTATGTTTATTAAAATTATGTATTATTTTAGTGTTCAACGCGATCCTTTGAGACAAAACAAATATTGTTTTTAATAAAACCAAACATATATTTAATTAGGTTACCCCCCAATACTTCCTGGACCAAATTCGAAGAAGAAAATAGAAACATAACAAAATGACGTAGCTCGCAAGGCAATAACGGGAAAAAGAACTTTGTTTGTTACACGTTAAGATTGATTTCACACCAAAGGTTATTTAATTTATGTCTTTTCATTTCCAAGTGATAGTATTGTATAGCCCCATGGCTCTGACAGCGCGCGACATGTTATACTCCCGTTCGCTCGGGACCTTAATGGCGGGAAAATTTGTAAGTTAGAAATTTTTTTGCTATATTGCAAATTTTGCTATATTTTCACTTTGAGACAATATTTAAGGATAAAACTTACAGGATTTCTTGTTGAATGTATAAACTATCGAATAAAATTATTTTTGGTTGCTAGAAATTGTAATAAAATACATAAATTACCCTGTATAGCATAGTAGTAGCATATACTTCAATTTTAGTGACAAAATTACTATCAATTTGAATTCTACACTTTTGTTTTTGGAGAAATTTATATGAAAATGTTTGGAAATATGTATATTTTTATGTTTTATATGTTTCCATTCGTTACTCATACCAAAATATTAAAAAATTAAAAAAAAAAAACAATAATAATATTTTATCTCTGTGACATTTAGAACAATATTTCAAAAATAATTATGTGTGAATTTGAAATAAATACAACGTCAAGTTATTTGAAATATGTAAGAAAACTATTTTTACTTACACTTTACACTAAAAATAAATGAGAATTTGAAAAATAACACATTTATGACCCAACCGCCAAAATGGGTCTTCCAGATTTTGAAGTACTTTTGGCAATTTACTTTTCACTTTTTATACCACAAATTATATATCTACGTGTTCACTATATTACAAGGAATATAAAAAAGTATAAAACTTTCGTTTTTAGTCCAGACACAAATATAAAATTCTATAAAAAAGACGGAGCACCTTCATCAAAACGACACGTGGAACGCCGAAAGTTCAGAGTGATTTCTTTTTTTTTTCTAAGAAACATTGCCAGGTTATGGTTTAAAATAAAAGAGCATATCTTTGTCTTTGATACTATTATCTATTGCATATTGTCTTTGGTTTTGTTTTAAAGGAAAAAATAGTTTTTTCATAAGGCAGTACTTCTGATCCGACCTGATCTAATTCGACCCGCACCAGAGCCGACGTAAGGTAGGTATTGTATGATCTGATTAGATCGGTAGCCGAGTCAATGGGATAGCTTTGTTCTTTTTTGTGACTATAGTCAACCAAATTTAAGAAATACATTTTGACAGCTGTCAGACTTTTTGCACCAAGCATGCCAACCAAAAAATGGGAGCGTATAATATTCGATTCTTAAAAAAATCGATATTGATTATTTAGAGTTGGTAATCATTTATTGTTTGGTTTGAATAATATCAGAATAAATTATAAACCGATAATTTAAAATACAAGATTTATCAGTTTCTTCGTATTTGTTGTTACTGCTTATTTCTAGAAGCAAAGTTATAAAAATTTAAGATTGAAACTAGATTCAGAATAAATTTATTCAATCACTTTCAGTACAACTAGTTGAGGTGACGTTGTTTAGATTAATTATTATTTGATTTTCAATAAAGCAGTCAAAATTAATGTCTCTTTCAAATTCATCCATAATAATTTTTTTTTGTTTTTTCTTTCACCTTTGCTCAATCATTCTTTGTGACATGGGTATATGCTTCAACGAATATAGGAGAAACAGTCCAAAAAGTTAAAGCCGAGTCACAGAATAAGAAGACAAACATAAAGTCACAAAATTACGCACAGTAAGCTTTCGAAATGGATTGAAATTACGTAGTGGTTTTTTGAGCGTGGCCTTGTATATGAGTTTTTTTGCCTACACAAATTTACGTTGAATAAGTAAAAAACTAAACTTGTTTTATTCATGATTCATGTAATTTAAGAAATTTTAAAAATAAAAATTTAATTAAACAAATAATAAATTAAAAAAAAAATGTAATGATTCCATTATTTGAATATTTTTACCAATTATTTGAATATTTTAGCGATTATTCGCATAACAAATAATTTTATTCATCCAAACACTACGGTATGATAAATAGCGACGTATCATTGAAAAGACGTCAAGTAAAAAAAGTTGATACTGGTTTATTTTTTAATATTTTGCTGTTTGAAAGATTCGAATTTAAATTTGTGCTAAAAACTATACACGTTTTAATGAAATATAGATATCTTCCTAATTCTTTGGATTTACGTTTATGGGTATTTTAAATCGTGTGAGTACGCTTGTGCAAAGTTATGCGGAATGATTAATGTGAAACGTCAAAAGGTATTTCTTAGATTTGGTTGACTATAATGATCGTAAGATTTGTGACTTTATTACTAGATGCGATGCTTGTAATTAGGTTGAACTTAAAACTATTTTAATTTTTTGTCTCATTTCTTTAGTAAACAAATGTAGCTGTTTAAGTTTATATTCACGTGGACAGTATTTAGCTATGATATCGTACGTGACCTGTTATCTAGTTGGTATTGTTGATCGAAGTTTTTAATATTTTGCTTTTTTTGGAAAATTTAAATTAGTGATAAAAAACTACATATGTTGTAATAAAATATAGATAACTTCAAAATTCTTCGGATTTACGTAAAAGGTTATTTTAAATCGTGAGAGTATGTTGGTGCAAAGTTATTGCGGATGATTAATGTGAAACGTCAAAAGGTATTTCTTAGATTTGGTTGAATATAAGTTACGAGCAGTTTTCGTAACTCTTAAGACAAGACAGTGAGCGGGCGAGTAGACTACATGATTTGTAAACCGCGAACGTTGTTTTCTACAATCTAACACTGATTTTGTTTAATTTGATTAAGAGGAGTATTACAAAAAAAAACGCGAAATTACAAGGTTTCCTCGTTGAAATTATATGTTTTCCATTCTTTGCTTGAAATCACAATTACTTGGTAAAAATAGTTCGTTTCCTCTACTACAATGAGCTCAAGGCAAATTTTAGATAACTTATTTATTTATTTAGAAATAATCATTCTCCCGATGCATGGCCAAAACTCTGAGAGACATGATTTGGGAGCTCTAATTTGTAGATTCTATTGAATATCGACCATCAAAAAAATATTTTTATCTCACAAATATTCTATACTTTAATAATCATATGATACATTTTCATTATATGCTTTTCACGTAAGGAAAAAAAATCGACATAATTCAATTATCTACCGAAAAAGCTTCGATACAAGCCCCAATATCATTTTGACGTAAAATTTATACCAAAATAATCATCAACATTTACTTAAACTCTAATATGATTTTTAATTTTTAAATCGTTACTATTATTTTTTAATTAATTAAATAAAAGTACTACTATATATTTCACTGTGTCGGCCATCCGAATTCACTTTATTTCGCGTGCTCCGTCCGCAATTTTTAAGGTCCGTTTATATCTACAGACATTGAGCGTG